ATGTAAAACACACACCAAGAAACAAGTACACGATCGTTCCATATCCTCCATTGTTGTGTGTGAGTTGTGTCGCATTGAAGATGACGCCACTGCAGTTTTATCTCAGCGTCGCTCCGCCCAAAAAGCCCGCCAAAAAGCTGATCGCTCCGCCTACACTGCGTTGCTAGCCCAGGTCCTAAACTGTAATGGAAATGCGCCACGGCCTGGGCCGGCCAGCGAGGCAGCCCGAGGCCAGAGCGAGGACGCTTAGGGACGCTTAAACGGGGCTACCCCGCTGCAGTGGAAACGCGCCATTAGATGCATGGGTATTTTTTGACCCGTGAGGTGGTTTTCTTAGTAGTCTTTGTAATTACATTTTTTTATCATTTCATATTCCAGCTATTCCTCAAAAAACATGTTTTGGATATCGTGCTATTCAAATTTTTAATTACAATTTTTCAAATTTTAAGAAATTGTTGTTCTTGTATTACTACCCCAAGCTTCCATAAGTGGGTCAAAAATGACCCGCATGCATTTTCTATGGAATTTCGTTGTTATTTAAAAATGTAAAAAAAAAATCTAAAATTCTAAATAGTGAAAAATTAAATATTAAATTTTCTAGTGTGAACCAAAATAGTGATAAGTGATTTTCTTAACCAAAATGACAAAAATGGCATAAACACACATATTATTGTAATACGGGTCCTTTTTGACCCACTTATGGAAGAGTGTAGGGTCCAGCCACTCGTGCATCTAAGGGTAAGAAAACTGTATATGTTGACATGACAGATTACATAGTTGTCAGAAATCATTTCAATTAATAGCACCAATTGAAACTCAGAAAAATGCGCTTTGTGGACATGGACTAGTGGTCTAGGAACGTTGTATAAACACTACACACCTGTTGAAAAGCCACATCCCCAAGTACCTCAAATCACTGTTTTATAATGTAATATTCATAACTCCAGTCTCATCTGATGATTGTATTGTCCTGTTCAAATTTGAGCTGTCTTGTCAACAAACTAATACGATTGATACCGACAGTGCTGATGTTTGGACAGTTCGTCAGGTCTCCTTCCTGAAGCTCTTGTTTTGTTTTCTCACACTCGAGTGCTCTAATGGCATAATTTGCACCCCATTACATCTCATATCACAAACAGCCGTCTTCCAAACAAAACAACATTCAGGTTTCAGATGATACATGTGGAATAATGGCCTAATGAGTGTCAAATGGCCATTTGATGCAAAGGGAAAAACAGAAAAGGGCACAACCTTAAAATCTGCCTTAAGTTGAGCTTAATTTGAGGCTTTCTGAGTGAATTGTAATAATAAGTGTGTGAGAGAATATGTAATGTATTAAGGGTTTGTCGATTATTATGTGTCTACCTCCACTGGAACAGCAGATGGAAATGAGCTATGAGCAAAAATGTGGCTTATTAATAATATGGTTTTTCATGCATGGTCCTTTTTCTATTAAGACATACGTTTCAAAATGATACTGAGGCCATTGGAAGTTCATTTTTGTCAGTGGTAGAGAATAACTTTGATAATGTTCCTTGTGCTCAGCTCAGTTTATTTTAATTTGTTTACCTTGACCTTGACTTCATTTGTTCAAATCTAGCACCTCCACTCAATCAACATACTCTCTTATTCTCACACAGTCTCCCTGGATACTGTGAGAAAATTAGCACTCATTACTCAAAAATAACACCCTGCCTATTCAAGCCTTCAACCTGTTCAGTCCACTGTTCCTCTGACGTTCCTCCTGCGGGACATTAGGACCCGCTCACTGTCATTACGGTCCCTTTCTGCTCCGTCCTCCGCATTTAAAGGAGTGCTAATTAAACACCTGATGAAAATATCACAGTAATTCTGATGTGGTTCATAATTACAGGCCAGTTTTGAAAATTACCCCCCTTAGAAAAAATAGTAGCCATTCAAAAAGTGATAATGTATCCTGGAGGAATGGCCATTTAAAAATATCTGGGCCCTTAGTCACAGTTATTTGTAACACTTACTTATGAGAAGGCAACCGTCATATCTATCTATCTATCTATCTATCTAGTGAATGTTAGCTATCAAATTAGCCATCAAATATTAGCTATCTTCTAAATGACCTACCTACCTACCTACCTACCTACCTACTACCTATACCTACCTACCTACCTACCTACCTACCTACCTACCTACCTACCTACCTACCTACCTACCTACCTACCTACCTACCTAATTGTTAGCCATCTATTACAAACACGGTAGCAAACATTAGCTATCTGCCAAATAAGCTAGCGAGCTAAAGTTAGCTTTAACTAGATAGCTAACCATTGCTATCGATATATCTATTTAAAAAAATATGTATTTCCTTTTCTAGTTAAAAGGAAATATACAAATACAACCTTACATACTTCAAAAGTTCCCTTTCACATTCCTAAAAAAACAAACTTGTCTTTGCTCAGTCAACATCAATTTAAATTGATGTTGACCCAACGTCAAGTCAATCAGAACTTTCTCAAAACACAATTTTTCATCTTTTTCAATTTTTACAAACGTGACCATAAAGACAAGATTAAATCGATTTATGGATTATATTGTGTTAATTTTCATTTCGTTTTTTTTCCTAGCTCTACCATATTTTCTGCAAAAGAACTTGGTGGTAAAAGGTTAATTGCTTCATATTTGTTATGCCTGATTGCTGGAGTTGTATTTGTGTACATCCTCATTTGAACTCACTCTCAACGTGCTGCTGAAAACGTTTCTTCTCAACAGCAATTCATAGCAGAACAACGAGACCACATATTCAGACCTGAAAATGAAGTCAAGGATCTCAATGAATAAATAATGTCCTTTCTCTACCCTTGGCATATTTTAATTAGTAACAACGTGTGGGTGTCGTGTGTGTGTGTGTGTGTGTGTGTGTGGTGTGGTGTGTGTGTGTGTTGTGTGTGTGTGTGGTGTGTTCTTACTGGGGTTTGCCTTTGGCCTGACACGTGAGTTCCAGGTTCTCTCCTTCCCTCGTCAGACCCTGAGGAAACTCTACCACGATCTTCACCTCCGGTTTGTCTGAAAGTAAAGATAGAAAGAGAATTAAATGCTGGCATAACAGAACAGGTAATGAATTACACATCTTCCCTTTGCATATACTTAGAATGGTGCAGTGATGACATATTTTTTTGTGCAAACCCAGAAGTTGGGTTAGTTGGCGAACATTAACCCAATGGTATTCTGAATGTGTTTTGGTTTGAACCCTGAAATCTGGTCTGTGTTTAACACAAGCTGAAGACATTTCTGTTGGTGTACAACATAACATATGTCAGTAAATACCCCAACTGTTGAATCTAAGTGTCTAAATCAGACTACATTAGCCTCCTTTAGCTTAGCGGTGGTGACGTGAAGTCATGTGACCGTGCTGTAGTTCCTTTATAGCCCAACATTAGCCGCCTTTAGCTTAGCGGTGGTGACGTGAAGTCATGTGACCGTGCGATAGTTCCTTTATAGCCAAACGTTAGCCACCTTAGCTTAGCGGTGGTGACATGAAGTCATGTGACCGCGCTTTAGTTCATTTATAGCCCAACGTTAGTCACCTTTAGCTTAGCGGTGGTGACGTGAAGTCATGTGACCGTGCTGTAGTTCCTTTATAGCCCAACGTTAGTCACCTTTAGCTTAGCGGTGGTGACGTGAAGTCATGTGACCGTGCTGTAGTTCCTTTATAGCCCAACGTTAGCCACCTTTAGCTTAGCGGTGGTGACGTGAAGTCATGTGACCGTGCTGTAATTCCTTTATAGCCCAACATTAGCCACCTTTAGTTTAGCGGTTGTGACGTGAAGTCATGTGTGACCGTGCTGTAGTTCCTTTATAGCCCAACATTAGCCTCCTTTAGCTTAGCGGTGGTGACGTGGAAGTCATGTGACCGTGCTGTAGTTCCTTTAGAGCCAAATATTAGCTTCCTTTAGCTTAGCGGTGGTGACGTGAAGTCATGTGACCGTGCTTGTAGTTCCTTTATAGCCCAACATTAGCCGCCTTTAGCTTAGCGGTGGTGACGTGAAGTCATGTGACCGTGCTGTAGTTCCTTTATAGCCCAACATTAGCCGCCTTTAGCTTAGCGGTGGTGACGTGAAGTCATGTGACCGTGCGATAGTTCCTTTATAGCCAAACGTTAGCCACCTTTAGCTTAGCGGTGGTTGACATGAAGTCATTTGACCGCGCTTTTAGTTCATTTATAGCCCAACGTTAGTCACCTTTAGCTTAGCGGTGGTGACGTGAAGTCATGTGACCGTGCTGGTAGTTCCTTTATAGCCCAACGTTAGTCACCTTTAGCTTAGCGGTGGTGACGTGAAGTCATGTGACCGTGCTGTAGTTCCTTTATAGCCAAACGTTAGCCACCTTTAGCTTAGCGGGTGGTGACGTGAAGTCATGTGACCGTGCTGTAATTCCTTTATAGCCCAACCATTAGCCACCTTTAGTTTAGCGGGTTTGTGACGTGAAGTCATGTGACCGTGCTGTAGTTCCTTTATAGCCCAACATTAGCCTCCTTTAGCTTAGCGGTGGTGACGTGAAGTCATGTGACCGTGCTTGTAGTTCCTTTATTAGCCCAACATTAGCCTCCTTTAGCTTAGCGGTGGTGACGTGAAGTCATGTGACCGTGCTGTAGTTCCTTTATAGCCCAACAATTAGCGCCTTTTAGCTTAGCGGTGGTGGACGTGAAGTCATGTGACCGTGCTTGTTGTAGTTCCTTTATAGCCCAACATTAGCCGCCTTTAGCTTTAGCGGTGGTGACGTGAAGTTCATGTGACCATGCTTGTAGTTCCTTTATAGCCCAACATTAACCTCCTTTAGCTTAGCGGTGGTGACGTGAAGTCATGTGACCGTGCTGTAGTTCCTTTATAGCCCAACATTAGCCTCCTTTAGCTTAGCTTGTGGTGACGTGAAGTCATTGTGACAGTGCTGTAGTTCCTATAACGTTCACTTTTTACTTCAAAACTCAAAAAGCGTTGTTTAATATGTGGAGATTATCCCTGCTAAAGAAGACGTTAAAGTATCATCAACGTTTGTTGCCGTATAGCTTATTTATTAAAAATCCAAAGGAAAATCCCATAGGCTTTTTTGTAGCGGGAACCAGGGAGATGCTAACTTCAGGGTCTGCATACAAAACATAAATCATCCCTGCATCCTTTTTCACGGTAATCAGGTATTGTTTATCCATCACTAATTTTCTCACACAGAATACACAGTGCAGCTCACATAAATAGTCCCTATATGTTTAAAGTAGTAAACACAACAACATTAACATTGTCCCGCGCCCAGTAGTGCTGAAGTTAAAGAATAAAGCAGTTCAAGAAACAGGACATTATTTTTTTATTACGATTGAGCTTCACACCACACCACCTCTGCTGGGTCTGGATTTATTTGACTTGGCATGATGTTAACAACAGAATAAATTCAAGGTGTTTTTCCTTTACATCTATTGACCACCGCTGCCTTTTTACCCCCAACCCTCTCTTCCATTTCATCAATCATTCTTCAGCAGGGTTGGGTCTACCTTGGGTATAATATTGATGGAATTGTAAATTAAACCCCAACACCAAGGCAAAGCATTGGGGAATGACAGACGTGGTTTGGACCCACAAGTAGTCCATCCAAATATATGTTACCTGATAACTATCACACACACAAACAAAAGGCAGTGTTGACTGTAGTGCAGGCGGAGAGAAAATGTAAGAATGTTGTTTTGGACAATCAGTGGGGTGCTTTGACAGTTTCTGCTGTTGCTATTCTTTGCAACCGACGAGTTTCTATTGTTCTCATTCCCCCGACTGTTACTGGTGTTATCAAAGCTCTTTTCTCATCTTGGTTGTAAGACATGATGCTTTATTCTGGACAAAAATGCAATTTTGTATTCAATCTACCATCTGAGTAAGGTATTGAGTTTTTGTGTTTACCATGTAGTGAGAGAAGAACTGAAAGCAAAACAAGAGTCCTGATATCTGTTTCAGCTTTTAACCCGTCCTAACCAGTAAATCATACACAAAGGGAAGCTTGAAAACAAGCAACATTGCTTTATCAATGTAGTGTTTGAGAGTGTGACGCTGACAATTGAGCGGGCCCGACCAAGCAAGGAGGCAGAGGCAGAACGTCCAAAATGATAACCCGGTGTGGGCATTTATTGAACTCGAGCACGGGAAACAGCCCCAATCTTGCTGTTCCCGTGCGAACAGTCACCAGCCACAAGGATCTCACACACACTCTACCAGCCTCCTAACAGACACATACACACACACCCTAATCAACCAACAAGACACAGGTGAGGGGGGAGGAGACAACACAGGGCACCAGGTGCACACAATCAGCAACAGACATGGGGAAAGGGAACACTTTTCAGAATGAAACCAGGAAACAGAGTCAGACAAACTAGTTACATAAATTACATATATTCCCCTGCTTCCTGTGCGATGTTTTTAGTGCTATATTACCCGTAACGGAGGCCGAGATCTATGGGCCCAGAGGTCACCTCTGTTACAGAGAGATACAGTAACTCATTCTTCTTTATGAATGAGTTAGGGTTATTACTTGTATGACATGTATTTTTATTTTCTGGTATGGTATTATTATATCAGCCCTTGTACATGACTTTTTGAAATTGTTAAGAATTTAATACATTTTCTAACTGATTTATCAAAAGGTTTGTCGGAATTTCGACAAAAGATTTGAGGTATTTTACCAAAAACAATGTCATTGGATAACTCACAAAAAGGTTGGTTTTTCTTGTACCTTTTCTTGTGTATATTCAATTGAATTAGATCATTAAACACAAAACATTAACATTACATTGGTTTGTACTTAGTCATTTTGATGAATATCTGTGAAATGTTAAGATACAAAATGACTTGTGTTTAGTTGTTATTATTTTTCTTAATGTATTTACAAATGTTTTATTCAAGCCAACTGTTTATGTTGTTGTCTTTGATGTTGTTGTGTATCATATATTTGGATGTACTTTATAACATGACACCTTTTTGTGCTGTCAATTTCTGTATAAAATCAATCAAAGTTCATTAAAAAAAGATCCAAAATGATGGCTGACATTGTTTGCAATATATTAAAAGCCTCAACCTATAATGACTTCTCAAAGAAATGTGTTGTTTTGTGTGAGATGCTGAAGAAACCGTTAATACCTCCACTCATCTCAGAAGCAGACTGATTGCTGAGTCACTGTGCCGTAATTACACTTCCCTGATTGTTATTCTTGTTCCCCCCCAGTATTAAATGCTGAATGCACAGTTTGCTGCGTACATGTCTAATCAGCCTGCAGACACGAGGCCTGAGTTATGATTTCAAAACCCGGCTGTAAAGTTTCACACTGCCGTCCGACCTTCTCGGCAACAAACAACACGTGTCTGGTCATCCATCTGTCTAAATCACACCCTGTCAGCGGCCGCCTCTCCGTCTCCGTGATGGACAGCAGACGGGCGAAAAGCCAAGTATTCTGCTCAGTGGGCATGTTCAGCCAGCAAGCCTTTGGTTTTGTTTCCCCACTGCAGGCGCTACACGGCAACTTTTCTTCACTCTCACAGCCGACCTTGTCATCTCGGAGCAATAAACATGAAGGACGCCGGGCATCTGTAAGTTGTTTTGATAGCCGCGAGTAGTTATGTCGGCGCTTTCTTGTCTCTGCTTGATGGGAAAACACAATGCTGCACAGCCAGATCCGCCTCCTGCCTCTTCAGTGGGAATGAATTAGTGTCTACAGTATGCAAGAAGGCCGTTATCATTACGCTAACTGAATTATTTGCTTTATTGTGCGCCTCACCTCATAAGCACTCGAGACGGCACTATCCATCTCCGTGCAGCCTGGCGACCTTAAGGGAAAAGCAACGAGTCGACGCAGCAAACAGCCCGCTCCGCTCATACACATAAACATTACACGCTTATTTAATTACGCTATCCCCTGACAATGGCCTGTTTAGCTGTTTTCTTAGCACACAATGCACTCCGCTCTACTAGCAAATTGCCCCACACCAGTGAGTGATTGAAATGTAAATCACCTCGTCTATCAGGATAATATA